CATCGTCGATTCTAACTGCATCTCAATTGAAACACTACAATTGCGCACCAACAATAAGCCTGAGCCAAGAGCATTCCATATGTTTTTCATTTGGATTGCAAGTTGCTTGAAGGAGCATATGAAACAGTTTTGAATGAATGGTTTCATTTAAGCACCAAATCGAAACGATATCAAAACTGCATTCGAATAAACATTATTCATTCAGAGGGAATTCACTTTAAAAAGCGAGAAGAATTCATGTGGAACAGTGTGAATAAATACATAATATATCTCATCGAAATGCAGATCGTCATCGTTTTCAGCGATAATGTGTGATCGCGATAAACACGGGCAGTTAATGAGGGATTGTCGTCGATACCATAAGGAATGTCAAATTGATCGTAAAAGCAATGAAACATTCTGCGGATGTCCAATGGGTTACAATCTTCGAGTGGATGAAAGAACCCAAGGATCCACTTGTGAACGTATGGCAATATTGAGTTCCTTTCATCCCACATATTCCCTCGAAGTTTCTGAATCGTCAAATCCGAATTGATCGACCACTCACAATTAATCGATCAGTCCCTTGAAGCCCACAATCGTTCACCCAAGTGTTGATATGACATTACCTCGGTTCTTCTCCACTTAATTATTGATGAATTTTAAAGCAAGTAAAACAAGAGTTTGTGACAATTGTTGATCAGTGATTATCTTTAATGATAATCATTGCTTTGAACTGTGCAATCTCAGCGGGATTAAGCTTGAAATGCGAGCAAAATTCAGTTTTTTAATAGGAAACAAGATACACACTGCACTTGAAGTGGTCAATCAGCGAACACAGTTCATTATGAGCTAATATCCCTCTGTTATAAGTAATTGAAACTTCTTCATGACATACATTCTTCTTTCCATAGAAACCAACGTAAACGTAAACGAGAGCCTAAAAAGTTGTCTTATATCTTAAATCCATGTCCTACATCTTGATAGCAATTAAGTACATGAATTCAATTGTGCTCAGTTTAATCATACACGAAGTTTGTTTATTTGATCGAATTTATTCAGACTGATTCAATGTCTATCACTAGATCAGAGTAGAATTTGCTTTTGGCATTTCAGTTAATTGCTTGAGCAATCAGCCAAGAATTTAGGTTACGATCCTTGTGCGATTTGTCATCACAAATGTCATAAAGCATCAAAATGTATGCCGGCTACTGGAGACAGTATTTTCGGTTATTCGTGCACGAAATGTAATCCACGTTTAGGTTACACAGGCGATGGCTTTGTTTGTAGTGGTTAGTCGTCAGTTTATCAACGTGCGTTCGCAGATTATTGCCTTAGAAATGTAATGAGGAGACTATTTTGAGATGTATTTCGCAACAATTTATATCCCTCAATCAATTTCGTATTCATTCACTGAAAGTTACGCAAAATATAAATTGAACCATGTGATACCCCGAAGGAGTACACTTCATGGAACAGGCTTTGAGTGAATTAAGCAATAGGAATTTCTAATGAATTGGATTTGGTTTACTGAAAGGATTCTCAAAGATATCTGTCTGTAATTGCCTAAACAGTTAAATGTGCAATTAGTGATGAGTCTGTTAAGATATCGATGAATGCGCTGATGATGCGTTGAACGATTGCGACGTGCCGAATGCGGACTGCGAGAATCGTGAGCCGATTTACGATAACGATCTGAAGTATGTTTGTACGTGTAAGGAGGGCTGGAGAGGTGG